GTGTACCTGCTCTCTGGGGTGCATCTCAGGGCGCGGGGGTGGGGCCGTGTACCTGCTCTCTGGGGTGCATCTCGGGGCGCAGGGGTGGGGCTGTGTACCTGCTCTCTGAGGTGCATCTCGGGGCGCAGGGGCGGGGCTGTGTACCTGTTCTCGGGTGCATCTCGGGGCGCGGGGGTGGGGCCGTGTACCTGCTCTCTGGTGTGCATCTCGGGGCGCAGGGGTGGGGCCGTGTACCTGCTCTCTGGGGTGCATCTCGGGGTGCAGGGGTGGGGCTGTGTACCTGTTCTCGGGTGCATCTCGGGGCGCAGGGGTGGGGCCGTGTACCTGCTCTCTGGATTGCATCTTGGGGTGCGGGAGGCTGCGTACCTGCTCTCTGGGGTGCATCTCGGGGCGCAGGGGCGGGGCTGTGTACCTGCTCTCTGGATTGCATCTTGGGGTGCGGGAGGCTGCGTACCTGCTCTCTGGGGTGCATCTCAGGGCGCAGGGGTGGGGCTGTGTACCTGCTCTCTGAGGTGCGTCTCCGTGCAGAACTTCCACCGCTGAAGCACCTCACAGAGCTTGTCCAGGCCGCCATGGTGGAAGTGGAGGATCTTGTACTGGCTCTCCCGGCTGGCAACCACCAGCTGGCCGCTGGTGCAGGCGTCGTCGCTGCCGGGTGTTTTGGGGAGCGAGAAGGTCAGTGAGCACAGAGGCGGGGTTTGCGTCCTGAGGCACGTAGGGCTGGGTGGGCGGGGGCTGTGCCTTCTCCCATGCAGCCTGCCTGGCCTCACCCCTGGAGGTGGACCGTGTGCCTGGGCTGGAGGCGCTGGGTGGGGGTGGTGGCACTGCAGGCCACACCCTGTGTAAGAGAATGAAACTGGCGGGGGGCCACCCACCCGCCGCTCTGCCCGCCTTGGCGCTCGGCCACCGGGTAGATGAGGGAACTCCCTGGTCTCGTCTGCCCCCGGGCTGGCCGGGGCCCACCCTGCCAGGAAACAGCCGCGCATGTGCTGCTGTGCTGCGCTCGGCTGTGCCCTCCTCCCCAACGCTGGATTCCGGTTCCTGGTTTTCTTTCTCCAGTGCTGGGAATTTGAACCCAGGGCCTCGTACTGGACCACCCGAGCCACGCCCCCAGTCCCGAGTGCTCAGTGGCCGTGGTCCTCTCTGGGGCAGCCAGCTTCAGGTCCTCACCTGAAGAAGAGGCGCAGGGAGCGCATGTGGCCCAGGTCCACGCGGAACACGCCGCAGATCTGCTCCAGGGCGCAGCCCCGCTGCGGCTCCTCCCAGCGAGCGGTCTGCAGGAGGCAGCTGCTGTCTGTGAACCTCAACTGGACATCCGAGCTGGAGGGGGAGCTGAGAGACAGACTGCGTGAGGGCCGGCGCTCTGGGAGCCCGCACCCCCTCCCCGGCCCTGCCACCCCATGCCCGCTCAGACGCAAATGAACGTGCCGGCCAGGGGCAACCTCCAGAAACCTGGGAGTGAATGAACGAGTGAGCGGGCAAATCCGGCCACCAGTCACACACAGAGTGACACTTTGGCCTGGATAGAAAAGCATTTTCACGATCAGATGGCACCCTGCTTCCACAGGGCCGGTGGCAGGCTGGGTCATGTGGGCCGGAGTGCCAGACTTTGCTGTGTGCCCTTGGGCAGGTTCCTAAGCCTCTCAGAGCCCCTGTGTCCTCGTTCACAAAGCAAAGATAGTGACCAGGCTCTGCAGAAAGGGGTAAGTGCACCGTGCTCAGCGCAGGGCTGGTGCTCAGCGCGTGCGTGCGTGCGTGTGACCTGCCGTGCCAGAGTTTCACATGGATGGGCTTAGACGGGTTCTCTGTATCTCTGGAAATCACCGGTTTGGGTAAGGAAACATTTGGATTACTAGCACGATGATTAGCAACAGTCACTAGCCAGGATTCGGGGGCTCACACCTGTAATTCTCAGGAAGCTGAGATCCAAAGGATTACAGTTTGAGGCCATCCCGGGCAGAAAAGTCTGTGGAACTCCACCACCAGTAAACCATCAAACAGGCTGGGCTGGGACCGGCTGTGAGCGGCCACTCAAATGAGAACCTGAGGCCTTGAGTTCAAGCCCCAGTCCCAGCACACACGCGCGTGCACACACACACACACACACACACACACACAACCTCAACAGCAAATATTTATTCAAATACACACATGGCTCCCCACTTCTCCAGTGGCTGAGCTGCATCTAATTCTGACAATAATCCTATTAGATGAATATTAGATTTACCCCCCCTCCCGCATAGAAGGTGAAACCGAGGCCCGTAGAGGTTAAGGAACCTGGCCTGGTCGCCCAGCTACGAGGCGGTAGAACTGATATGAGAAGCTGTTTTGTGGCCCAGGCTCTCAAAGCATGTTTTACAGCCTGGATCTGCAGAGCAGTTATTCTCTTTTTAAAAATCCACAAGTGGGCTGGGAAGGTGGCTCAGTGGTAGAGCGCTTGCCTTGCATGCATGAGGTCCTGGGTTCGATTCCTCAGCACCACATAAGAAAAAAGAAAAAAGCTGTAAGTGGCGCTGTGGCTCAAGTGGTAGAGTGCTAGCCTTAGCTGAAGAGCTAAGGGACAGCGCCCAGGCCCAGAGTTCAGACCCCACGACCGGACCCCCCCCAAAAAAAATCCACAAGCTAGAGCGCCTGCCAATGCAGCCCAAGGCTCTGAGTTCAAGACTTAATACCAACACACACACACACACACACACACACGCACACACACACACCCCACTAATTGCAAAATACTTTTTTTTTTGGGGTCCGGTCGCGGGGCCCGAACTCTGGGCCTGGGCGCTGTCCCTCAACTCTTCAGCTCAAGGCTAGCGCTCTACCACTTGAGCCACAGTGCCACTTCCGGTTTTTTTCTTTATGCTTATGTGGTGCTGAGGAATCAAACTCAGGGCCTTAGGCATGCAAGGCAAGCGCTCTACCACTGAGCCACCTTCCCAGCCCTGCAAAATACTTTCTTACATGGATTCAGCCACATCTCAGGTTAGATCTGGGCCCTTGAGCTCTAGCATCCAGCTAATTCTAAAATATCATCAGCGGACATGAGCGTCGGCTCCGGGCCCCTGTACACCCCTTTCCACTCACTCGCTGCTCTTCTAGAGCCCGGGGCATCAGACTCCCAAACACGTGACCACGCAGCCCTTCTGGCAGCACTGCCAACCCCTCCTGCTCAGCCCTTCCTTGGAGAGGAAGCTTCTAGAACATGCCAGCTGGTATATGGCACACTTTCCTTCCCCACCCAGTTAAGAATGTGAGCTATGCTGGGCCCTCCCACTGCCCGGCACCTGAGCTCTTGGCTACAAGGTCGGTGAACCTGCCATGGTGGATGTGCGGAGCCCGAGCCCCACTGGCACACGGCCCTGGGCCCGAGCCTGCCTCAGTGGGCCTGGCCTCGACGTTCACAAACAGGGTGAGGGCCGCACTCTCCTCCCACCGCCTTTCCGCTCTCCGCTCCTGCCACCCCCGGTGTACTGGTGCCATCCTTTAAGGCCTGCACCCCCTTCCCAGCATGCCCCATCCTGCCACGCCAGGAGGCCACCGCGCTTGCCGAACACCAGACAGAGCCTTGTGGAGGCCGGGGTTCAGGCAGAAGGCCCCTGTTGGTCCCCTAAATGTTTGATTCCAAACCAGCAAAGAGCCCCGGGAGAGAAGGGCCAGACACCTCCCCAGCTACCCGCCCCCAGGCACAAGGCTGTGAACAGCCTCTCCGGCTCCTTGGGGGAAATCATTTGCGATAAGTAATTGATTCATTAAGTCAGGGCTCCGTGCACGCTCGGGGCTGTGGGTTCAAAGTGGAGCAAGGCTGGTGGAGGCCTCCACCCCTGGTCAGGTGGGCCGCGTCCAAGCAGGGTGGCCTCCACCGCATCTACCATCTCATCTGCTCCCCCTGGGGGCAGGGGCTGCCACGCACAGTGCACGCACGTGTGCACACACACACACGTTTAATACTCACACCTAGAATTAAAATGCAAAGCATCTGGGAACTTGGGAGCTATATGTTTTTTTTTTTTTGAAGGGGGAGACTTCAGGAAAAACTCAAATGGGTTTTTATTTTAACCATCTTTCTACATATGTGAAGCAGTTTTGGTTTTAGGAGTATTCGTGTTGCCGGTGCAGGGGCTCACGCCTGTAACCCTAGCTACTCAGGAGGCTGAGATCTGAGGATCACAGTTTGGAGCCAGCCCAGGCAGGAAAGTCCATGAGACTCTGATCTCCAAAATAAACTACTCAGGCTGGGTGCTGATGGCTCACGCCTGTAATCCTAGCTACTCAGGAGGTTGAGATCTGAGTACTGCAGTTCAAAGCCAGCCCAGGCAGGAAAGTCCGTGAGACTCTTATTTCCAATAAACCACTAGAAACCGGAAGTGGCACTGTGGCTCAAGTGGTAGAGTGCTCGCCTTGAGCTGAAGAACTCAGGGACAGCACCCAGGCCCAGAGCAACCCCCACGACAAAGGGGGAAAAAATTAAACTACTCAGAAAATGCTGGAAGTGGCTCTGTGGCTCAAGTGATAGAGAGCTAGCCTTGAGCTCAAAGCAGCTCAGGGACAGCGCCAGGCCCTGAATACACACTCTAGGATGGGGGGGAGGGGAGTATTTATGTTGCAGATAATCTGGTTTGTTCATAAGTGATCACACATGATACATTAAAAGTATGGTTTGTTCAGCAGTAACACCAGGTTGCTATTATGTGGAAGCATCCTATAGAGAGGACTAGAAAACACTCAGCTTAAGAAACAGTTTCAGTGGAATTTCACTCATCCATTACAAAGAATAACATTATGTCATTTGCAGGAAAATGGATGGACCTAGAACATGGTAAGTGAAGTAAGCCAAACTCAGACAAAGGGTACACATTTTTCTCTCACATGTGGAAGGTAGATCTAAAATACGACTGGATGTGATGACCGATACAGGACTCCAGACACTCACACGCAGTTCCTTGCTGAGGGGAGGACCCAAAGGTGTAACTTCTCCGAGCAGTTAAAGTACTATTTAGCCAAACAAATTCCAGGAAAGGGAAACGTTTGTTTTAATTCTTCTTAAATTGTTACTATAAGGGTGATAGAGAGGTTACAGTGACAGAAGTCAGGGAAAGAGTTCATTGCCACCCTCCCCTCGCTCTCTCCCAGTTTTCCCTCTGGCCCCTACAACAGGTTGTACGGTTCACTTTCCACAGTGTCTAGTGAGAACCACTGCTGCGTTCGTTCACCCTTTGTCCCTCCATTCCTGTGCTCCCCTTAAGTCTTTTTTTTTTCCTGCTGTTAACTGTTCTTGTTGATGGTGTTTTTTGTTTTTGTTTTTCCGGTCGTGGGGCTTGAACTCTGGGCCTGGGCACTATCCCTCAACTCTTCAGCTCAAGGCTAGCGCTCTACCGCTTGAGCCACTTCCGGTTTTCAAGTGGTTTATTGGAGATAAGTCTCACAGACTTTCCTGCCCAAGCTGGCTTTGAACCGAGATCCTCAGATCTCAGCCTCCTGAGTAGCCAGGATGACAGGCATGAGCCACCGGCGCCCAGCGGTGTTCGTTTTTATTTTGATTTTTTTTCTTTTTAGGGGAGATGGGGGTATGCACAAAGGGAGGGAGGAGGGTGAGCAAAAGCAATCATGCTATTCAACATACACTATGTGGCAAATGACTGTGTAACTGTGGGTAGGGATGGAAAGGGGAGACACTGCACAAAAAAAGAAATCTACTCTTTACCTGACTTATCTAACTATAACCCCTCTTTATAATAACAATAAAAATATTTACCATCCCCCCATAGTTTCTTGTTTTCAATATCTTTATTGTAAAGGTGATGAACAGGGTTTCAGTTCCTTAAGTAAGGTAATGAGCATGTTCGTTTTAAACGCTGTTACCCCTTCAAAACCACAGCTTCAGGCTGGCACTGGCTCACGCCTATAATCCTAACTACTTACTCAGGAGGCTGAGATCGGAAGGTTGAGGTTCAAAGCCAGCCCCAGGGAGGAGTCCGTGTGATTCATATTTTCAATTCAGCTACCAAAAAGCTGGAAGTAGAGCTGTGGCTCAAGGGGTAGAGCCCGGCTTTGAGTGGAGAAGCGAAAGGTGGGCCCAGGCCCTGAATTCAAGCCCCAGTACTGGTACAAAAAAAAAAAAAGGTGCCCAGGTAATGAAAATAAGATAAATCTGACCTCATAAAAATTAAAAACACCACAAGAAGACAGAAGGCATCTAGAGTCCTGTATCAGACACGGGACCGAGATCTAGATTGAACCTTTCAAAGCACCAACAAGGCAAGAGCAAGATGCTAAGTACTCCAGTTAAAAAATGGCCACAGGGTCCAATCAGCAAAGACAGACAGATGAACAAAAAG